CCAAAAATTACAATTTGTATAAAACAAATCACATGGCGCATCGTTTTTTCGATACACCGAAGGTTGTTCGGGTTTGACACGTTGGAGCCATATCACTTTGAATCCCGTGAATAAGGCTCGAAACGCTAAGCGTTGAAACGAACAAATGTAATGGAAGTCAGGATGTTGCACGAGTTTGATCAATGCCTGTAGTGCACGGGTAGTAGTTGGCGGGACGCAGGTCTATGCGGTTGGTTGCTGACCTGAGTTTGTGACGTATATCATTGAAGGGTAGTCTGTGGACAACTCTTCTTCCATGCTGTCTGAATCGGATCGCCCTAGGGTGTTCCTAACGTCACAAATTTTGAGATACCAAGTGCTTTCACTGTACCAATAAAATTTTCCTGAGGCCGTATTACATTCAATTGTCACTGTTGTATGGAAAAGAACTAACTTATTTTTTTTCCACCGAATAGTTGTCCCTAAGCTGTTCTCGTCGAGTTGTGGGATCTCCATTGGAATGTTGTGGTCCTTTTTTTCTTGCAAAGGAATTCTATTTTTTGTTTTGGATATTGAAGTAAAATCGTGAGAATGGGTGATCAGTAAACCGGCCTTTTCTTTTCAATTTAGCAACATGGTGGCCGGCTGGGTTCGTGATGTGACTCAATATCAAAATCCGTTGGCAGACGAACAGATTATCTATTTTTACCAATGGCTTCGGTCACCCAGGGCGTTGCTATATGATCCGGCTCTGAGACGAACAGTGCAGAAATTAATGAAAAAGGTTGGTTTGTACAGCTAAACGGAAGCCTATCTGTCGTTCAGCGTACACAAGCTGTTCACTAACCTCTTTTCTATCTGATTGGTAGATCCATGTCTGTACGATTTTCCCGGTAGCGTGAACACCAGATTTTGCATACTGAGTACAGTTGTTAATCTCTTAATCTTTTTGTGTAACTCATCACTTTTGTAGTCCATATTGCCGCGACAAAAATAGATGCTGATTACCCTCATGTCGATTGGTTCGCTCAACCACCTAGTTCTTTGGGCAATGAGTTAACATATGTGCATTACTATGTATCCGAAGCCCAAGCGGTCTACCTTCAAATACCATTCCTGTTTTTTTGGAAGTGACACAGTGTCGTTATGCGACTAGTTCTGCTTATTTTTCTTTTCTCGAATTGGATCACTCCTTTTGCATCTACTATATCCCTATTTCGTATGCCTAGTGTACTTGTCAGCGGTCATTACAGTTTGCACTACTGTGTTTCACTGTAGTAACTTGTATACCAGTTCTCACTGTTGTCAGGTACTGCTCATATTTGTAAGTATTGTCTTTGGTGCTCCCACTAAGAGGCGATTGGTGGATTTTCATGGCACCTCGGAGTGTATTGAAGGATTTATTATTGCAACTAAAGGAAAGGCACAGAGACTGTCGAGTTACTTGGCAACGGATCAAGAGCGATTCTTGAAACTCCCGCTCAACTGTTTCCGATTGTTTGTTCTATGTAATCCAATTTACCTCTGATTCCATGATGGAATTCTTGGACAACTTTCCTCAGTCCGGTACTTCTTTATAGATTTATAACACTCATTACTGGTTGGGTGTTCTCATTTAGCATCGCTTTTGCAGCCTACTACTCCACCCAACGTTTGTCTATAACTTGTGCTGTTTTAATTATACATCATTCCTGATTCTCAGGTTTTTCTTAAGTTGATCGACGAACTGAATCACTTGAATGTGGACGTGATATTTGCCAACTTCAGTCGCCTGATTGTGGCAACAAGGCGTCTGGAGTTGTCTGAAGCTCTGGCTCGTGTCGAGCACTTCACAAATCTGTTACGCACACGACCAGGCACCCTGTTCACACATTTGGATTTGCAATATGTGGCCAGTTGGCGACAAATGCTCTGGCTCGACCCGGCAAATTATGCGGCTATCAAGGTGCGTTTGTGAGGCATGCTGGGATGCGGTAGAATTCTTTATTTTTTCGAGAAATATTCAATTTGGTGGTAATAGATTGGAAACGTGTTATCGCACTTATTTTGTTATGATTAGATTAAAGATTGTAATCCAAGTTTTTCTTTCTGATTTTGACTGGAATATGAGTATACACATTCACATGAGTCTTACTGAATGCAGATACAAATACTCAAACTTTTCTTTAAAATCGTCGATCAATGACCTATATATGTTGGGAAACTTCGTTGATATGATATGTATCCGTTTTCTTATCAACCATCTTTCACTTCATGGTGTGTGTGTGTGTGTGTGTAAATATCTGCAGGATTTGCAATCTGATCCCATTTTTTTCCTGTTAGAAAATCCAAAATTTTGTATTAGAATATGTTTTTCCGACATTGAGCTGTTAAGACTGTTTTGCAAGGTATCCGGTCGAGACCTACAACCAAACCGATCGCCGCCCCGCACATCGGGCAAGTAGAGAGATCAAGTATCGAACCCAAGGAGTTGCCGTTCGAACAACAACAACAAAACAGTTGACTGCATCAGACGTCAGTTGGGTATGGAAAGATAACTCATCACGGACCAATAAGGTCACGTTTTGGACTTCTTGGATTATTCTATCTTAACCAAATCATCCAATCTGATAGTGTGCGGACATAAACGCAGCTAAGTGGAAAGGGAATTTTGGCTTTGAAATCCTATAACTTCTGATTGTTTGGCCTTGCTTGTAAAACGCTGAGTGATATCCGATGGGTCTCGTGAATAGGAGGCATCTGGGATTATTTGGGATTGAGAAGAAGAACTATACGGATAGTAAAGATAGTTTTCGTTAAGTATGTTGTTCGCTGGTGCGTTGATTATCGGTCGGCCCTTAGCCTCGTGCACCCAATGAGACAAGCGGAACGTGGACTGGACAGCACCTCATTGGCTGGGGCTGCCCAGCTTGGGCGGACGGTAGCTCTCCAATGAAGTGCGAAGACTTCTCCCACCGATGGATGCATCACGGGTGAAGTGTTAGCTCGCATACAGAAGGCTCCGTTGGCATTTACCAACTTAAGATATCTGTGGCGCCTTCGCAACATCCGGCTGTCTGTGAAGGGTCGAGTGTATGCCGCGTCAGTTCGGCCAATTCTGCTATACGATGCAGAAACTTGATCAATAAGGAAGCAAGATAAGGATAGACTGTCGGTGTTTGAACACCGCTGTCTACACAGCATTGCACGAATCTGGTGGGGTAGCCGGACGAGCAATGCTGAGGTTAGACGCAGAGTTTTGGGTAACCGCGGTCGCCCACTGGAGCAAGTGGTTGGGACATGTGTTGCACCTGTCACCAGGTAGGTTGCCACGGTTAGCGATGTTTGCTGAGGTAGGTAGTGGGTGGAAAAAGGTCAAGGGTGGTCAGGCTAAGACCTGGCACGAAGGTATGAAATTCCTAACCAGCGTACTGGGTCACATGATTCCCGTAAGGCTCCCTGGATTTGGACCTCGAGGTGATCGTAACCGATGGTTAGGGGCACTAAGTGTCGTAAACAGCGGCGTTCGTGCATCTTCTCAATTTCTCTGCAACCTTGAACCACTGAAATTCTCCATTTTTTGTTCGGCGCTACTGTCAACCTTCCTGTCTTTCTCCTATTCTTCATCCAAATAGGCAACCAAAACTGCCGTTCGAAGGTTCATGGTTAATGGTTGCACAAACTGAAACTAAAACTGAAAACAAATCGTCTCTTCGAACCGACCGTTTTTCATATCATCTCAATTGTCCCGTGCAGTGTTGCGCTATTTAATACGAAAAGAAGGATAAATTTTCCTATTGACACTCATAGGAAATAATTCGAGTAGCATCTGAAACCTGTGGTCACCGGAACGATTCCGACATTGACCAATGAAGTTCCTCGTAGAACATCAAGTCGTGGTATCGTTTATTACAAGACTGGACTTTGTAGATATCAATGTGAGCTCTCCCTGTTGTCATGCGATGATTTCCAAAAGATCATGAATGTCCTGAGGGCGCATTACACAAATCATTCGGTGGCGCTGCTAATGTCTGCACACTCATGCTTTGTACGCTAACTGATTGTTGTGGGTAGTAGCATGTTGCATCAAGAGTTTTGATTCCAGTTTTGTCCTGAAGCCAGATACAGTTTCTAAGCTATAAACCTATGATGTGTTTGAGAAGTTTGCCAATCAGGTGTAAAACAAGAACATTTGTTTAAAGCACGAACCCGTATTTGCTTTCTCATATCCATAAAACGTTCGTGAATCGACTAGTTTATTTTCTTATTGAGACGGTGTTTACTTCACGTGTACAACCTATACACAAGTGAGTGGAATAATACCTGTGCATATGATTTGACTACAAAAACGAAAACAATGAATTAAACAGTAATAGAGAGAAGTAATGTTCTCAGTTTTAGTTGCATTTCTTATATGATTTGTGCTATCACACTCCGCTGTTTCAGTTTTCAGTTTTTACAACCATTAACCATGCACTTTCGTGCGCCGGTTTTGGTTGCTGACTTTGGTTGCCCATTTGGATAAAAGAGCGAAGTGAAGATTGGAATGTCGAAGCAAATTCAAGCAGAAGATGAGGAATACATATAGAGTGGTGTTAGGAAAATAACGAGTGGATGCACGAGC